AAACATTAGGCTAGAAGTGAGGAAAGAATTGGCATCTAACCCGAAGTTGGTGCAAAACACAGTTGATCGGAGTAAGTCCCTGATCATTTTTGGCTGCAAAGAAAAGGAGATAACATCTAGGTCAGAAAGAGCTGTAGAAGAAGCAAAAGTAGTAGATAAAATTGTTGGCCTCGTGGAAGGTCTTACAACCATAGAGAATGTCTGCGACTACAGGAGAATAGGCAGATATGTAAAAGGGAAAGCTTGACCTTTGAGGATCACCATAAATGGTGCCAAACAGATGGAAGAAGTACTAAGGAATGCTAGAAAATTACAAAGTGATGAGGATGGGAAAGTGTGGTCGTTAAGACGAGATCTTTCAAAAGATGAAGAGAGCAGCTGAAACTAAACTTCGCCAAGGCAAAACGTTTAAATGAGAGCAGGCATGAAGAAGAAATCAATTCTTTTTTCTACAAAGTGATAGGGGTAGGCAGGCCAGTAAAGTGGTACATAAAGGCAAACCAACAAAATCATTAGAGAAAGGGGGAGTGAAAAATAAGAAGAGGGGGAACAAGTTCCTCAAGATTGCATACACCAACATAGATGGAGTAAGATCAAAGATACTGGAGTTAAGTGATATAATACAGCTGCAGACACCAGACATTGTTGCACTCACGGAGACAAAACTTGAAGATGCTATTTTAAATGAGGTCATTCCCAAGGGGCTACTCAATTTGGAGACGGGACAGAAAAATCAGGAAAGGCGGTGGCGTTGCTGTGCTGGTGAAAGAACACCTAAAGGTGAACGAAATAGTGACTGCCAATCCACAAGAAGTTGACATAATAGCACTAGAGATCTGCCATGAGGATGATAAACTAATGATTATAAATGCATATAGTCCACCGCTAAGCAGCACATGGTCAAAGGAGGAGCTAGATAGTAAACGAAAAGGTCTTATAACAATAATGAGAGAGATCATAGCGAGAGCGGATAACGATAGTTCACGACTGTTGATAGTCGGCAACTTCAACTTGAAATCCATAGACTGGGAAGCATGTGAAGCTAAAACAGAAGATTTCTGGACCTGTAAATTTGTAGACCTTATCCTGGAAACATTCTTGTATCAACATGTTAAACAAGCTACGAGGATGAGGGAAGGGGACGTTCCCTCCATGCTAGATTTGATATTTACCAGGAAGGAGGAAGAAATATTTGACATTCAGTACCTTCCTCCCTTGGGTAAAAGTGACCATGTCTTTTTGGGAATAAAGTATGCAATGCGTTATAATCTGGAAGAAAATATGACGGTCGATGCAAATGAAAAACCTGACTTTAGGAGAGGACATTATGGCAACCTTAGAAAATTTTTTAGTGAGTATAATTGGACAGACTTTTTGCTAGGCAAGGAAGTGAATGAGATGTATGTCAGGTTTTGTGAAATATATGATAAAGGCATAAAAAAATTTATACCAAAACAGGGAAGCAGAACTAGGAAACAGGATTGGTTCAACAGAAAGTGTGAGAGGGCCAGAGACCAAAAGACACAAAAATGGAACTAATACAGGAAGAGGCCGAACCCCCAAACATACCAGCGATACAAAGATGCGAGAAACAACTACACGGCAGTGAGGAGAGAGGCAGAAAGAAATTTTGAAAAAGGGATTGCAGACAAATGTAAAACAGAACCAGGTCTATTCTATAAATTCATAAACAACAAATTGCAGGTAAAGGATAATATTCAGAGGTTGAAAATGGGAAATAGATTCACAGAAAATGAAAAAGAAATGTGTGAAACATTAAACGAAAAGTTCCAAAGTGTGTTTGTACAAAATGAAATCTTCAGGGAACCAGATACAAAAAGAATTCCAGAGAACAACATAGAGCACATAGAGGTGTCCAGAGAGGAAGTGGAAAAAATGCTCAAGGAGCTAAATAAGAACAAAGCAGTTGGTCCAGATGGAGTTTCACCATGGGTTCTAAGAGAATGTGCACCTGAGCTCAGCATTCCTCTTCAACTGATTTTTCAGGCATCCCTGTTTACAGGAGTTGTAGCTGATGTGTGGAAAAAGGCTAACATAGTTCCAATCTACAAAAGTGGAAGCAGGGAAGACCCCCTTAATTATAGACCGGTATCATTGACAAGTGGGACAATAGTCAAAATAGTTTGACAATAGTCAAAATATTGGAAAAAATAATTAAATCTAAATGGGTAGAACACCTGGAGAGAAATGATATAATATCAGACAGACAGTATGGTTTTCGATCTGGAAGATCCTCTGTATCGAATTTACTCAGTTTTTATGATCGAGCAACAGAGATATTACAGGAAAGAGATGGTTGGGTTGACTGCATCTATCTGGATCTAAAAAAGGCTTTCGACAGAGTTCCACATAAGAGGTTGTTCTGGAAACTGGAAAATATTGGAGGAGTGACAGGTATGCTTTTAACATGGATGAAAAATTTTCTGACTGATAGAAAAATGAGGGCTGTGATCAGAGGCAATGTATCGGACTGGAGAAATGTCACAAGTGGAGTACCACAGGGTTCAGTTCTTGCACCAGTGATGTTTATTGTCTACATAAATGATCTACCAGTTGCTATGCAGAATTATATGAACATGTTTGCTGGCTGATGATGCTAAGATAATAGGAAGGATAAGAAACTTGGATGATTGTCATGCCCTTCAAGAAGACCTGGACAAAATAAGTACATGGAGCGCCACTTGGCAAATGGAATTTAATGTTAATAAATGCCATGTTATGGAATGTGGAATAGGAGAACATAGACCCCACACAACCTATATATTATGTGAGAAATCTTTAAAGAATTCTGATAAAGAAAGAGATCTAGGGGTGGTTCTTGATAGAAAACTATCACTCACCTGAGGACCACATAAAGAATATTGTGCGAGGAGCCAATGCCACGCTTTCTAACTTCAGAATTGCTTTTAAATACATGGATGGCGATATACTAAAGAAATTGTTCACGACCTTTGTTAGGCCAAAGCTAGAATATGCAGCAGTTGTGTGGTGCCCATATCTTAAGAAGCACATCAACAAACTGGAAAAGGTGCAAAGACATGCTACTAAGTGGCTCCCAGAACTGAAGGGCAAGAGCTACGAGGAGAGGTTAGAGGCATTAAATATGCCAAAACTAGAAGACAGAAGAAAAAGAGGTGATATGATCACTACATACAAAATAGTAACAGGAATTGATAAAATCGACAGGGAAGATTTCCTGAGACCTGGAACTTCAAGAACAAGAGGTCATAGATATAAACTAGCTAAACACAGATGCCGAAGAAATATAAGAAAATTCACTTTCACAAATAGAGTGGTAGACGGTTGGAACAAGTTAAGTGAGAAGGTGGTGGAGGCCAAGACCGTCAGTAGTTTCAAAGCGTTATATGACAGAGTGCTGGGAAGACGGGACACCACGAGCGTAGCTCTCATCCTGTAACTACACTTAGGTAATTACACTTAGGTAATTACTCACTAGGGGTATATATAAGGCCAGCTCTTAGTTGACTGGGGGTGCATCAGGGCGAGCAGTGGCGCCTGGTACTGAGGGGCGAAGACCCGTGGGACGACCCCAACCATAGGTAGGAAGGGGGTGAACCGTCACAGTATCTACATGCTGTTTGCACCGTAACTGTACACCTAAGCTTGTAGGGTGCCCAAAGAGCAGTGGCCACCCTCTACACAGCAAGACAAGTCATGCAGACGACGCCACCTCCATCACCCAAATGGCTCCTCCCAATATAATCCTTTTGCTGTTATTACAATAATACACATATTATATATAAGTATCTTGTGTTCGCCATAGAGAACCACTGAGCAAGTATGGTGAATGCAGACAATAACAGGTGGCCACACAGTCGGTAAACGATGCTATCTCGCTCTGTCCCTCAGCATCACTAATCCCATAGTGCTAATTATCACAACAATCCTGCTATTATCACAATCCTGGTAATTTTTATCACAGTCAGGGGTCATCTGTAATATTGTCATCGCTAAATAATAGCAGTTATATATTTATTTTTACCTTTTTCGGCGATGCTGTGGTTACAAGCTGAACAGCAATGCTGTTTACTCATGCTGCGTGCACCAGTCTTGGTTGCTCCAACAGTGCTGTGGGTCTCACACTGGAGAATATTGCTCACGATTTAAAAAAAAAATGGCGTCTGTTTACAAGAGCCTTGAGGAAGCCCATTTGAACCCCATGTAGCCGCGGGCCATTTGAATCGTGCCTGGCACCCTATGGCGTATATACACGCCATGCGCACAGTGGGACATGTTACTCATGGCGTATATATATGCCATGCACAGTTTAAGGGTTAATTTAACTACACTTAGGTAATTACATAGCTATAAATACAATAAATGAACTTTGGATCCACTGCAAAGTTCCAGAGACAACAACTCCTTCACTGTTTCAGGCATCATAGATTCAGAATTAATTTCAAAGAACTTATCACCCTTAAATTGCTGTTTAATATCAGGCATATATTAGGGGAAAATCTTTCACTGCATATGTAATATCAAGTAGCCAAAGCACTTGGCTAAATATCTCCAGTCAACCAAAAAATTTGACTACATCTCACTTATTCACTTCATTCAAACCACCAGAACAATCATACATAGAAATCCTAACCCTAACTACAAAGAACAGTAATAACCAGTTGACGCCATAAACACAACATCCAGCCCCTTGCCGCCAAATGCAAACTGCATCAAGTCTAACTCTAAACCATATTGTTTATACATATAAGGGAACCCATATAAAGGAACCCATATAAAGGTTCTGTCATTGCCCTTACATCATCTGGCAATAGCAACAACTACTACTTTCAAGCCTTGCCTAATAAACATTCATGCACCACTGTGATGCATTTCCCAATATTGCCAATCACGCAATCATCAGGAGGGAAACCTTCATGCAAACTACATGTACCATAAGGAAGAAAAAGAAGAAACTATGAAACCTTAAATCTGCTATATCTATAGAAAAACATACTTACCAATTTAAAAATCCTCTAACTTTGTGAGGTAGGTTTGAGTATATGTCCATGAGAGGTAACATGAGCATGTCATTGTTTCTTTCTTTTTCTTCTTCAATCTTTTTCTGCAAAGAATAAAGGTGATTCTTCCACTTCTTTGCCCTCATTTGTTGCCCCTTTTTATGAACCATCAAGATATTTTTATCTGTGAAAAAAAGATGCAATTTAATTTAAATTTTCTTTAGAAGTATACATAACCAATACATTTTTAACGAATGCAAAATAATAAACAACAATTCACTTAATTTTGTGCATATCTACGAGTGTATTAATTCTTCTACACTCACAAAACCAGCGTTGAATGTAATGAAACGCCATTTTCTGGGCAAGCCCCAGAGGCTCCCTGAATCTATCTGAACTGATATGTGCTATATTTGTTTGGGGTCTTCAGTCACAGGAGTCCTTATGCTTACCAAGAACCATGAGCCAGAACCTGGCCGCCTCAGAACACAGTCAGCAATGACCTATGAGCAATTTACATTTAAAATATGTCATAATTTCCATTGATCGGAAAAGCACCCAGAAAGATAAACAAAAGAAAACAGACCACAATCTGGTGAAAATTGCAACTTAAGTCCGAAAAAAAGCAAAAAAACTCTCGCAGGAAGAAAACAAACGACCAGCACTTCATCCAACTAGCACTCCCACTCGTTAGTGCTCCTTCCCCCAACCCCAGAGGGAGGGAGAGGGGAGCGGCAGCTGACCACCCCAGTTCTTGAATGATGAAGACTGTTGACCGGAGAGAGGAAGGATGACAGGGAGCCTCCGGGGCTCGCCCAGAAAAAAGCATTTCATAACACTCAACGCTGGTTTTCTGTGGGGAGCCCCGCCAGCTCCTGAAACTAATTACCCACAGATGAGTAAAAACACGAACTTACCTGGGAGGCGGCAGCAAGGCAGGTCTCAAGGAGAAGTGACTGACAGCTGTGACAGACTCCCCAATGCAACACAAGGCCTTAGAGGGGCCCAGGACTTTCCTGAGATGCCTGGCGGCCAGAACTCTGTTCAACCTCCAAAACACCCATGCCCAAATGTCAACCCAAGACATATTACCAAAACACCAGCGCTGAATGTAATGAAACACCATTTTCTGGGCAAGCCCCAGAGGCTCCCTGGAGCTATTGGGCTAATGTGTGATATATAAAACCGGGGCATTAGCAATAGAGTTCAACCAACCAGGAACCACAAGCCAGAACCTGGCCTCTTCAGAGAGGTTGCAGGGAGCAATGGCCCTGAAAAACCACCATGTGGTTGGGGGTTTTCTTTATCTCCCATTGACCAGGGTTAGACACCCAGAAAGGAAGGCGTAACAAAACAAACCCCACATGGTAATAAAATGACAACTAATAACCAAAAGGAGAAGTAGAACTCCCTCCAATCCCAAGGAAACAATCAAACAAGCAAATGTCACACTCCACTGCTGCGCCGCTCATCCGCACAGCCCTCCCCTTCCCATGCCGGCTACTCAGTCATCCAGTTCGGAAGCTAAGTATCAAACCACACGAAAAAACGGCGACCAGAGAGAGGGAGGGTTGCAAGGGAGCCTCCGGGGCTCGCCCAGAAAAATGGTGTCTCATTTCATTCAACATTGGTCTTCTGTGGAGAGCCACTTCAGCTCCCTGGAGCTACATAACCAAAGATAAGAAAAAGAGGGATGTACCTGGAAGGTGGCCGCCACAAACACCTCTACGCGAAGTCGAGAAAATTGGCTGCAACCTGCGACCCAAACCCACACAGAAACGCCCAGGAGCAGGAACGTGAACCAAACTATGGGCGGCCAGGACTCTCTCCAACCTTCAAAATCCCCACGCCATTTCGGAAGCTAAGCATCAAACCACATGAAAAACCGCCGACCGGAGGGAGGGAGGATTGCCAAGGAGCCTCCAGGGCTCGCCCAAAAAATGGCGTTTCATTACATTCAACATTGGTCTTCTGTGGGAAGCCACTTCAGCTCCCTGGAGCTACATAACCAAAGATAAGGAAAAGAGGGATGTACCCGGAAAGCGGCCGCCACAAACACCTATACGCGAAGTCGAGACAACTGGCTGCAACCTGCGACTCAAACCAACACAGGAATGCCCAGGAGTAGGAACGTGAACCAAACAATGAGCGGCTAGGACTCTGTCCGACCTCCAAAATCCCAGCACCCGAATATCAGCCCAAGACATGTTGCCAAACACGGCAGTCAATGCAGTAAACTTCCTAACGTCATGGGCACGAGGATAGACTGCAAGCTGGCTACACTTAATAAGCCTGCAGACAATCTGGAAGACCCGAGCCCTGCAACGGGGAACGAGCGAAACTGGATCAACCCCAGAGCGCATCCCCCAATCACCGAAGCCGAAGCATTCTGATAGTGGCGGCGAAGAGCCGCAGCCGGACACAACACATAATGCACCCTCGGCCTAACAAACCAAGCATCAACGACCCAAGGACCTCTCCGGAAAGCAGCAGAAGAACCTCTTCACCAGAAAAGATGGAGAAGGATGCAAACAAACAAACCTACCACCAGGACCAAAAGAGCAGAAAACCCCATGCGCTGGAGGAGAGCATACAGCACCCTTCTTGAGGTTATCTTGAGATGATTTCGGGGCTTTTAGTGTCCCCGCGGCCCGGTCCTCGACCAGGCCTCCACCCCCAGGAAGCAGCCCGTGACAGCTGACTAACACCCAGGTACCTATTTTACTGCTAGGTAACAGGGGCATAGGGTGAAAGAAACTCTGCCCATTGTTTCTCGCCGGCGCCTGGGATCGAACCCAGGACCACAGGATCACAAGTCCCACGTGCTGTCCGCTCGGCCGACCGGCTCCCTGACCAGACCCCCAAGAGGCCAATGCCAACAGAAACAGAGCTTGGAAAAACAATCTTGAACTGAAGGGGCCACCACAAACTGAGGAGAGGAAAGATAGGGGACCACCCTGTCCTAGGACCAGGACGGCTCAGGCGGCGCATGAGCAGGCTGGTGAAACAAAGCACGAGAAAGCTTATGGAATGGGGCAGAGGAGACATCCACCCTGAACGCAAGTTAGAGCGGCTCCACCCATGCCGCACGATACTAGGCGACAGTATTAGGCATCAAATAACAGTCCTGAAAAAGCCAGGACAGAAAGGACAAGACAACCCAATCCGAAAGGGAAGACAACCTATGGAGAGAGAGAAAATGATGAAAAGAATGCCGGGATACTTCAAAGTTTCGTTGAGACGAAGCTCTTAAGTGGGACATGATTAACCACTTAAATGCACCAACCAAATATTCTCAGTCGGCGGGAATCTGCGCCAACCGAAAAAACTTTTTGATTTTTCGGTACCAATTCTAAATGTGAACGAGGTTGGTTGTGTACGAAATGGACTCTTAGGACCTCCAGTGAGAGGCAGCTATCTTTGAAAAAAATCCCAGAATGCCCTAGGGCTGCTGGCTGAGTGAGTACTGAATGGGCAACCATGGGTGGCGCACGCACCTCTGGCTCCCAAACACCTGTCCGACGTGGTGTTGAAAGATAAATGCTCTGTTGGTGAAATTCAAACCTTATTGTTTGAAAAACCTAAGGGTCATAATATTGGTGAACCTAGGCGCAATAAGAATCTAACACAAAGGTCGGATGCAAGTGATACAGCACCTATAAAGACGATACAGCGAGCATATCCAGTTGTAGCTCTGAGCGTCACCCCTGCAATCCTATGCTATCTCCAATTTATTTAGATGATACATAGATGAATTGTTTTTGGCGTTCAGTGATGATGCATCTGATACAAGTAGCATAGATGAACAGTGTTAGCAGCTTCCATGATGGTGTTTTCCATAGATATTTTAAAAAATACCTGAATCTCTTTCTGACTGACGGACACTCTCTGAGGCAAGCTGAATCTCTTCCTGTGTGGGACCATACAAAGCGATCTTTTCAAGACTAACTTACAAATTGATCTTTTCCTATAATCTTTTCAATACTACCTTAAGCTTTACAAGCTTGGCTACATACAACCTACAAGTACTAAAGCCAAGGGTGTACGTGAGTGCATTATTTGCAAGCACACAGAATGAAGAAACAGGAAGCGAAAATTTATCTGTACCTGGTGCACTAAGAGCGAAGTCGCGCTGTGTACCATGGACTACTTCGTTGATTATTACTCACTTCCGAAGTACTGAGTGTGTTACTGTGTAAATAGTGTGTGAAACTGTACATATTGTAATTTTAGTGAATTTTTAACAGGTAATATTGCGACAATAAACATTTATTGTGGACACATTACTGACACATGTATCACAGTTCCAGGGAACATTATGAACGTTCTACTGTATACATATTGTAAAGGACATAAATATGCATCATATACGATAAAAAAACTAATAAGACCGCATTGGAAGCACATAAAATAAATAAATGAAAATATATTTGTGGCCTGTGCTTGAATGGCCCGCGCAACCGGGTCTGGGCGATTCACGCACGGGCGACCAGGCCCTGATGACGTCACAGCACACCTTGTCCACGTCCCCACAGCTAAAGAGGAATTTGGTATTTATTTTTACACAGACATGTTCAGGGAAGGGAATTTATCATTTTACGAAGAAAAAATAATTTTTTGTTAATGCTTTATTTCATGCGCACCGGGGGAATTACACAATAAACTCTGCTCAGCACGGTGGTTAAAGAAGCCACCTGATCACCATACAAATGGTTATAAACCCACATAAAAAAAATCAGATGCGAAGAGCAGAGGAGTAGATTAACCCTTGAATGGTGCCTGGCTATTTAGCATGTGTCACTTCCAGGCGCATAAAAAAAAAAAAAAAAAAAAAAAAAATCTTTTAAACTAGTTAATTTGTGTTCACTGATTATGGGAAAAAATAATAAAAAAATCGTAAGCGGCATATATTGCCCGCTATAGGGCGGGGAAGTCTGGCAAGAAACAGGCGCTGATTCAGCGTGCGTCCCTGGCGGTCTGTTGCTCGCCAGCTGTCAATCCGGAGTTGCCACAAAGAGATAATTACCTAATTATTTCATTGTCTCTGATTGATTTTTTGTAGTTTTTTGCTGTATTATTATTCAATAGTGTGTAGTGTGATATATTTATATAATAAAATGAGTGAATCATTGCTGTACTTAAAAATATGGTGTGCATATTGTTGATTCAATTATGTTCATCAAA